GAATTTCCGTATTTTACTTGAAACGAATAACGAGGCCAAAACTGTAGCATAAAACAACTCGACAATCCAAACATACATCGACACCGAACTGCTGTGTAACTAACTGCTCAGAAGTCAATTTCATGGGTAAGCCTGCCTTGAGGACGAATGGGTCGAGTGATCCGAACTGCGTTTTTATTTTATCTCTGTTGTTTCCTGTTATCGATGTTTCTGTGAGTGATGTTGACATTACCGTAGGCCGGAAACTACGTGATATGCCACTTGACAAAGTTATGAGTTTCATTTATTTGTCCTTAAGTTGCGATCATGGTTATGCGGGAAACGCGGGACCCTAGCGCTTAGCTTCTCGCGTTCTTTGAAGTTCGGTCGACACTGCCACTTCACGCCGTTTATGAATCTCGTAAACAGCAAATGGATGGCAAGTTGATTTTTATTCAAGCAAGAAATTGAACCACTGATCATCGTCCCCTAAGCTGGCAGTGAAAACCACTCATTCGTTAATGTTGAAAGAGTAGCCTGTTATGATGAACACAACAGTTCCCCGTTGGTGACAACCAGAAAGTCATTTTTCGTATGGGCTGTCATATGAAGCCATATTTTAAACGTTGTAGTGGACTATTTACATCAATCAATCTATCAAAGTTGTCAAGCTCATGCAACTGCCGCTGTTATCGGCATGCCGATAATCCATCACTATCTGAAAATATGTCTATGCTTTCGAAATATATACACTTCAGCTTTCTGACCTTTGGTCACTAATCAATGGCCATATTTTAGCGCGCATAAATGCCTGAAAATCTTGCTTTTTTGCTTTTTTCAGTCTTGCAAGACTTGTGATAGAAACGGCATCACTGAACCACTGTACAGCTCGGGCAGCCAGCGCCCTGTAGCTGAATCCTGTGCCAACATGCCGCTAAGACGCCTTTGAGATCATTTGGAGGGGGGATGGTGACAGGCCGTCTTCAAACGACGGAGAAAAACGCCACATCGATTTGATATTCTGGACTGCAATTCATTCCCTCAGCCCTCCACTGCTGCTGCCCCTAGTTATCAGCAGAACGGCTCGCCGTAAAACTTCGTTGCTCTGTTATCCTCCATACATCATAGGACCAACGTGGGCCAGATAAGACAGAAAATGGCCATAGACGATGAACAGTATCGTTTTTGTGGGCGGAGGCTTTGGCAGTTCGCGCAATCTGAGTGGACAGTTTGAAGCTCT